GGGGAAGATAAAAGGTGGTGCGTCCGACTCGAGCGACTGTGTGGCAGAGGGAGTACTGTTAGTGACACCGTAGAATAGACGACAGACAGGAACAAAAGACGCGTACGTCACCTCAAGAGACAGTGGATGAAAATGTCTTACAACGGAGACGACAGTTAATCGGCACGGGTTCGGAAGGGGACAAACCAAATACAAAGGACTTTGTGAAAAAGAAAACAATTCGTACGAATAGAGGTCAAATATAGTTCTTTTTGTCTGAATTAGACGGATTGTTACTAGGTGAGGGTCGAATCAGAAATGAGACCCCTACTTGTTTACCAAATCTAGGCAAATCAGGAGTCATGTGGACAGAGAATTTTCTTTACGAAGTTGTAAACCCTTTATGTGAATGGCCATGGCTACTTTATTCCTTGACATTAGAGTTACGGGTTGACAGATACAGAGTATGGTGAGCTTCCAAAAGTGAGAAGTACGGTTGGTAAATGGGTAATGTGTGTGTATGTGACCAGCATACCGCGGTTTCGTGTGTGTGTGTGTGTGTGTGTGTGGTGTGTGTGTGTGGGTGTGTGTGTGTGGTGTGTGTGTGTGTGTGTGTGTGTGTGTGTGTGTGTGTGTGTGGTGTGTGTGTGTGTGGGTGTGGTGTGTGCTGTGTGCTGTGTGTGGGTGTGTGTGTGCCGAACGGAGCCCCTCGGCTTAACCGCCAAGGCATTGAACGGTTTCCCGAGAGCTATACACCTGACCTCTTCGACCTTTAGCTTTCGACTAGAAAGCTAATCACCTGTTGGACGAGGACTCGGTGTCGACGGTATTTCGACTGAATAAATTATACAACCAGACGGATCCGGAATAATTTTACTAAAGTACAAATGTTCGGATACGTTTGATTGTCAGAACCCTCTGGTGAAGTCTTAAGAATTTAAGAGATGTACATACTGTCGGAAATGAAAAGTCACATAACAACGTAAGGTTGTGTCTATTTACCACAGTCATCAAATATCTTATTTAATTAATTACAATGAGTTATGTATGAGATATTTATCATTTTGGTCTATTTGACTATTACGACGTCACCACACGTTACAAAAATGTCTCGACATACATGTTTACCGAAGATCCCTCGTCCCATCAATGTCGATAATAAAATTTTGCAAAGGAAACAGCAACTTAGAACGGTGGGACTCGAGTACCTACCTTTACGACGTTTTTTCGTAGGTACCTAACTGCACACATGAAAAAGAAACAATACCCACTTTGATTGGTGGTAACACAAATATGCCCTATGAATCCCCTACAACAGTCCTTATACAATAAAAGAAAAGTGTGACGGTCTGGTTGACAAAAGGGAAGGAGTCTGACGTTCTAGGTGGTGAGACTTATATGTCCTTCAGGTAGAGTAGAGTTATTTTGTGAAGTTCGCGGTAAAGGGTTTTACAATTAGAAATGGAGAAGAGAATAGAAATAAGTTGATAAAACTGATTAGAAGGGATTTGGAGACAAGGACGGTGACGATGATAAGTTGGTAACTGTCCTCCTGTACACGTTGTACACGATAGAGAGACACAAGGATGTTCAACAAAAAGATCGTCTCCGACGAGAACCCGTGGACAGGTTAAGTGTGTGAACGAATAATCTACCTCCGTAATTATTATCCGTACCTTTGTTCCCGGAGGTGACACCCACTACAAAACCGATATGGCGTAAACGTGTGGACGTGTGTCGACCAACACCATTTATTCACTTACTAATAACTATTTCTTGCTCGACAACATGGTATCACTCAACATCACAGTCTTAACTGGAGGCCTTAAAGTATTTTCCAGGTTGGGATCATAGGTCACCAAAGTACATATTGGTTACTTCATGCAAGTAGACCGAAAAGTGAGTAAGTAACTGAGTCACTTCCTTTCCCCACCATTCAGAAAAGACGAGATTCAGAAAACACTTGCATTAATCGTTATTATACGATTACCTAGAGCCGAGATTTACCGGTCGCAGGCCTCGCTAATTGGCGGTCATAGAGGGGAGCAGAGACGGGTTCAGAGACCGTGCAAGGGACACTTCCTTCCGACAATTAATTCCGCCCCCTACTTATTTACATTAAATGTGAGCTGGTGTCCTGACGTCTGACACACACAGCATAATATACACACAATACACGACAGGTACTGTGCCACGACATTAGCACTGTTCTATATCTGTCGTGTGGTGAAATGGGAGTGGACAGTACGGTGGTGGTAGAACGAACACACTAGCTGACGGTTGTCACCTTCACAATAGTCCGAATCGAATTACGAGTCTATAGAAGTGTGGGAAAATATGAGAAAAGTTGTCACATCAAAATCAAAGTTATATAATGTTTGACAAAGAATAGTGGGGTGGTACCATAAGTCATTATCTTGTAAAGTCCCTAGACGGTCGTGTCCCTAGTACCACAGCACAATTTTTCGTAAAGAATAGACACTGTCACCCCCCGGGTAATTTTACACCATTGAAAAAAGGGAGGCTATAGATGTGAAAAAAGGTTATTTTGCAAAGACAGAAAATTCGTACGGAAAAACATTCCCTAATCTTATTTCTACTAAGAGATTTAGACTTTCTCACGACACGACAAGTGTGTCGTGATTAAACTGAACAATTTTGGAGTCTCTACTTCTCTCGCTCTCTACTACGAGCTTAAGACAATTCGACCTCTACGAATTTGTGCTCGACTAGTAATTGAGGTAGTGCGGACACCCGTAGAGAGAGACAGTTGTTGACGGTCGAGACGTTATGAATGTTAGAGCTGAGTTGTACTCGAAACAGAAAGAGGAGTGTTAACGGAACAGTGTGAGAAAATTCAGTTATATTAATCCGACATTTGAAATTGAAGAGAAAAAGAAACTACGGCATACACCCACCTCGTAAACCCAAGACGTCCGTCAACGCCTTGTATAGTCCGGTTGAATCGAACCCTGGTGCGTTTAGCCGCTTGGCGCGGTTCATTTGGGTCGGTGTGAACGCAGTCCGAGACCTCTGAAGTGAACCAAACAACCGGACTCTGGTGCATTCACACCTAATAGTCCGCTCTCTGGTGCGCACCAGACCACAGTTTGTTACATTGTTTCATTTTTCAGAAGGTTCGGTTTGCGTTCGGGCAAAACTCAAACGGACTATAAACTTTAAACACAAGTCATGTGCTCGGAAATGCTGTTCAACCATTGGTCAGACATTAAGGGGGTGAAAATGCAAATCCCGACAATTTCTAGCGGAGCCGCCGCCATGGAGCATCGGCACTTTCGGCAGGTTATTCTCATGCTGCTGTTAATCTGGAGATCAACAGACACTAGCGGCCCGGCATATGATTATATAATCAGACAACTGATTATATAATCATATGCATGATTATATACATACACATCATGCCGATCTAGATCCCTCCGCTTCGCGTCGGGCTCCTGATCAGCCTGTCGGTGTTCTTTTCCCCATAATGACCGCGTCGCATTATTACATGGCTTTGTTGAATACTCGATTCTGATTGGTCAATTCAGAACACGTGACACGTTGTTAATCCAGAACAGACAGACCGCTGTCAAACATTTATTGACCGTTGTTAAGGACGCTCACATCTTCACAAAGAAGTCTGTTCGATTTAACTGTATACAGTTTGGTTGAAAAGCAAACTGCATGCAGTTTGCTTTTCTAACTGACAAGACAAGAGCGACAAGAAAACAGCGGAGAAGTAAAGGCCCAGATACACCGGCCAGTCACCTGAGAAGTCGCCGACGCCGACACCGACTGTTGCGTCGCCGGACTCTCCTGCGTATTTGCCGACTTCGCGCACTGGAACACACCGCAAATCCGAGCCGAGCACGTATGAACTGCGCATGCGTGAGTGGCAATAACTCTCCTTACCAGCAGGCGGCGGTAGTGTGTATTCATCATTCAAAAGACAGAATCTGTTGATATGCTCTCCAGATTGACAACAGCATGAAAATAACCTCCCGATGCTCCATGGCGGAGGCTCCTGTAGAAATTGCCGGGATTTGCGTTTTTACCCCCTTAATGTCTGACCAATGGTTGAACAGCATTTCCGAGCACATGACTTGTGTAACAATTTTGCTTTTATATGGACTAAACAAGCGAGTTGTATGTGCATGTATTGGTAGTAATTACCCTTGTAATGCCGTTCACTGCCAAGCTTGCCGTGTCGCTGAACCCATTCTTTATGCTAAGCTACACTAACCAACAGCTCTGCAGAAGTCTCACAACTAGCATGAGAGGGGGATCAATCTTCTCAGACAATGAGTCAAATAAGCATATTTCTTAAAAGGCCAAACTATTCCCAGAAGCAGTACATAAGTAGGCTTGTTAAGTAGTCTACAGTGAGTATGGAAAATAAATTAACTGACATTTGTGCTCCTTTGTCTAATGATAAAATACATTATAAATAACCAAGGCACTTCAAAAACACTTCAAACTGTTACCAACAGTGAAAAACGCTTGAATAAAAGCTAAAAAAAGGTTGAATTGAGCCAGACGTTTACCCAAAGTCACGATGTCATTGACTTATGTTGTGTGATCGTGGGCTGCAGTAAGTAAAGAGAATGTTAAAACCATGTGCTCTTAATGAATCAGGAGCTGATATCCAAACATAATTGTCATTCATGGAGACATGGTGAATTTGAATCTCTCCGTTAATGTAGGAGAGAATGAGTTACATTTTAGTGTTTCGAACCCATCGTAAACATAATTAACTGAACATTATTTAGAGTTACATTTCTGTTTTGACGAATATGAAGATCAGTACATGAATACAATAATCCAAAGTCTGGGCTCAACTCTTTCATCAGAGTTTAAAAGAGAACGACAGCCCAAACATTAAACATTAAGGATATGTTGGATGAAATCAGCTCCTGTGTCACTGCGGTAGGAAGTCACACAGGTACCAACTGGAACATTGTTAAACATGACATCCAAAAATAGCCTCTGCAGAGGACTACTCCATCTCTCTCTATACTCACAGCTGAATTTGACAACCCAGCAGCCGGCAAGAAGACCCATGAGGGTGGAGCTGGTGGTGGGCATGTGTCCTTCTGGCACCACGACATGGCTCACTGGAGGAAGACACAAACACACACAACAGCCAAATGTATAAAAAGGCACAAATAAGTTGTGCTGCACAGGATGGTTCCTGCTTCTGCCCTCCAAGATGTTATCAGTGCACATTAAATGAGCTAGATAGATCAAGTGCTCCAAGATTAAACATTTATAACAGTATTAAGTGCCTTCATTTGAAATTCCGTCTATATTTTAGACATTGGCTTATTTTTTCTCTCAGCCCAGGTTAGATGAGTTAATAACACCTTCTGTACATCCAGAGAAAAACATCGGAGCACATCCTAACGCATTCCTGGTAATTCAACTACTTTGCCTGAGTGGAAAACTGTCAAGCAATTCAAGGCGACAAAAGGCCATGCAACGGCTTCTTTCAAAAGATGCTTTAGACTATAATTATATCTTAATTAAAATGTAAGCACAAGCTCATTGGCTCTTATTCAACAAGTGAGTAGGGTTGACAAGTACAAAATGAGCATAATTACTTCTCCAGGGCAAATCCATATTGCATTGCTCATTGACTGAGGATTTGTAACCTCAAGTTCAAAATGTGGATAAAGAAACATTTTCTGGAAGCACAAACTTTCCCCCCTACGGTCAGAGGAGGGAGAGTTGTGAGACATACTTCTGTTTTTCCATTAGTGCTTATTCGTCACTGACAGTACCTCCAAACATTTTATGAGGGATGATTTCAATTACTTTTGCTCTGTGGTGTTCTCCCAGCCATTACTATGCAACAGTGAAGGAGCTGCTGCATCACAATGATGTATTCAGCTCTAAAAGCACTTGTTAGTTACTGTTGAACCTTCATGAGCGATAATTCTAGAGGCTTTTATAATACAAGAGCTGTGTGTAAAGTGAGGCCTGTAAAGCTTGCCTTGTAGCAAGAGAATCCGTCAGATAGAAATCCCATCTCTTTGGTGGTTCAAGTACGGCATATCATCTTCACAACAAACATCATGACCAGGGGAAGACATTACCCCATGAATACAGAGTCCTTTGGTACTCGAGCCTGCAATTTACCCCTAATACATCCTTCAGTTGAACAGGGCATCCCGAGTGAATGGCAGTGAAAAGACTTTCCAGCCATTGTCCCTGTGTAGCAGCAATTGGCCCTTAGCTGCAGTTAATTTGCAGTGTTGCCCATGTGTCTCAAAAACCCATCAAAAAACAGTCATGCGTGATGTTATTTTAAAAAGGTGTCCCCCAGGAGCATTGAGGACGTTTAAGGAGGGGTTTCTGTACCGAACACACATTACCTGAGCCAGAGAAGGTGTCGGCCATCCTCCCTTCCAGTAGCTCTCGCAGTTTGGCCACTTGGAGCTGTTCCGCTTGTGACAGCTTAGAGGTCAGAAACACGGTCATTTCATCCCTCCTCACACAGTCGCTCACCTGAGAGAGGTCACGGTTAGTGAAACAATCTTGACCTATAATGCTCGTGTAATAGTACTCTAGGGTTAAAAGTAAGTGACATCATTCTCCAAATCGGCAACTTGATTTTACTTTCGATTTTAAAGGTCACGATTTGATTATCTTCTCCGATTTTAACATTTATTTTCCAGCACTGATGCCACATCCATCGTTCAATTCTGCATGTTGTGATAACAGATTTTGTGGTTTTATGCCCTGACAACTGTTGCTTTGTTTTTTAAAAATATAGATTGCAGGCTAATATATCCACTAAATACTTTGGGGAATGTACAACACTAAGGCCAAATAGTCAACTTTAATTTATTCATTTAAAATGTAATAGCAATAACTTATTCCCCACTGTTGACTTTAATTGCGAGCTACCGGTAAATTGTTGTTTATTTTCTGAGGAGCGAAAGGTTTGGAGAGAAAAAAAATACCAAAAAGGGAATTGCAAATCCTGCTTTGGATTCTAATGATGAAAATCAAAAGCTCATTGTGTTCGATATTCAATTTAGAAATAAGATTGTGACAACGTTATTTAAGAGTTGAAATGGAATTAAGATAAACATAACCACATCTCCAGGTGGACTCACCATAGAGAGAGCAGAGGGGCTGAGAGCTGTGTTTGCACATTGGTTCCCTTCTGAGGCTTCCTGGAAAATCTCCAGCATCTCTGGACTCGCTGCGTAATCTGCAGGCCGCTTTCCACACTGATTACTGTGAAGAAGAACATTAAAAAGTTATTACGTCAGTGTCTCGCAGGATGCATACACTTGTTGATTTATGCATTTGCGGCAACACATACCATCTGGTGAACAATACATTGTAGCATTATATTGCAGAAATATTTAATTTACTTGATTTTTAACCACAATTTACATCAGCACACACTTAGAGCAGGTACAATGTCTATGTTTTGTAGTGTAATTGGTAATTACTCATGGCAGCTGTGATAAGCCAAGGTAGTTTTCCTCAAACAATTAGAAATGTATGAATGTACAATGTGAAATTATACCACAAGCAATCCGATATCCGATATTGAATGAATGGTATAGAAGAAATGTTAACTGGACCAGATTAAAATAACTTAACCCTTATTAAAATAAAATAAAATATAATAGGAGGGTTCTTTTTTTAGGTTTTATCGACTCAGGCCTTATTTCTTGGGGAGGTTGTTTTCAGTCTTGGGGCACTGACAGCAAACCCTCATATTTGAACAACTTTGGACTCTAGAAGTGACAAAATAGTCTCTGCCAAAGAATCTCAAACATTGTTTTTACACAAAATATTGAAAATACAATGCCTTTAACCACATAATGATCTGCCACAGCACACTTCTCTGAGCATGTTCATTTTCAAATGCTATCCACATGTTCCTGTCTCTTGGTAACAACAAAGATACTTACATGCTTTGCTGCTAAATCCATTAACTAACTATAGTTATTATTAGAACTAAAATGCTATTGCTGTCCTGAGTGATTCACAATCTTACAAATCTTTCAGAGACACTAACACAGCATCAATGTTATCTTGCGATAGCTTTTAAAAGCATAGTCTTGTCCAACAAGCTAAACATTTCCTCGTATCATTTCATCACTTCAACCAATGGAACATTTGGGTTCTTCTTTTATAAATCACTGGCCAAGCAGGACACAAAAAATAAAATCAATATTTGCCATTCCAGAGCTCTAAGGAAAACACTTTGGCGATGTCACACTCAGCTTGTTCTATGAAACTGTGCACCCATGTGTGGTATTCACTTGTTGGAGCGTAATTGTTTGATATGAGGGCGACCTGAAATCTGTGTTCTTCTTCACTCCTATGCCATGTGACCAACCAACACATAGACCCATAGCATGCAACAAAAATAACTCATGGCTGCATAACACTACTGACGAGTGCTGACTTTTTAAAACCTTCTCAATTAAATACATGTATCTGGTGAGAAGCACATTTCCTTTATTGATTTAGTATAGCCATTTAACTGTGATGCACAATATCCTCTCAGTATAAAGTGTGTGTAATGGAGGCTCATAAGCATTATCATAAAAGCAGCATTAGGCAAGAGACTCAAAGAGAGGAAACGGCAACTATCCCCAGGTTACAAAAGATACAATAAAGAAACTTTAAAGAATGTGTCTTTAAGTTTAAAAGAGCGGCATGAGACAAGACTGAGGTCACCTTGAGCTAAGAGGGAGAGGAGGAGAAAAGAATGAAGAAAAGCCGACAGAGGAAGAGAGGAGCCTGAGAGAAGATCCAAGCCCAGCAGGTCTTCTCTAAAAGATTAGGCGTCAGCAAAGATAACACCTGGGGGACAATTAATAGGTCCACTGGTCCATAACATATTTCATTTGGATTCATACCCCTAACCCAATACACACACAAACAAACATAAAATGTCCTCAACACTTATACATATGCACACTCGCAAGCTGGTTTAGGCAGCCGCACGCGAGAAGAATATCTGGAGAAAAATAATAAAGCGTGGATAATTGTGCTGGAGGTGAAATCATAAACACTCTCCCACAAGCCTCGGCATTAAGTACACAAGTTGGAGGAAGGCGGTGGTAGCTCTAGAGGATACCCACTCTAAGCATGACTCTTATACTAAACGGGAGGAGGACATTTAAATATTCATTTCAGGCTGAACACAAATACAAAGTTCAGTGAAACAATAGCAGAAACATCTGAACACCAATACTGATTATTCTTCCATACCTGCTACTGTATGTGATCTGCTTTGAACATATTTCCCTTTATCTATATGGATTTTATTATGTTAAAATCTACATTTCTGTTTCAAATGCACCGGTCGTTAAAGAGAAGCTATTAGCTATTATTAATATGTTATGACTTGTATGAGCTCATGCACTCCCAACAGCCGACAAAGCTTTTGCACTGTGTCCGCTCAGCAGTGCGTCTTGAAAGAAGTCATACATCTAATGACGGAAAGGCGTCGGGAGCAACTGATGAGGCAGAGGGCGAGGCCTGAATGCATTTTTAATGAAAAGGTTCATTAGTTACATTTCCTTCTTAAACAATCCACTCTGAATGTGTCCTGACGGTTGGATCAGCTGGGTGTTACAGTTTATATCCTGTGATGCAGAGGATGACTCACCCAACGCCTCCATTTAACCCTGTAACAGCACTGTGTATTGTAATTGTTATGCAGAGGCCCTTCTATGATGGCCAAATGAAAAAAATAAAATAATCAAGAGTAGGCTTTGGTTCATGCTTTCTAGAAATACCCACAAACATTGTCATTCGAGCAGGAAATAGCCATCCATAACATAATGTCTGGATCAAAGTAGACTGTCTATTTAGATGTTAGAGGCCTTTCACACATACTGTAATCAGTATTGTATGTAGTGATGGAAATCCGTTGGCTAATTGCCAATTACAGTAAACATTCATTGCTAACTTTTTGAGACTGCCATTGCTTGTTTACCGTTTGACTCTGTGTGCAGTACAATTAAACCGATCCAGTGTATTGGCGTGCCAGTGCGAGGCACACAGGTGATGTTAATTAATGTCTGTATGGATTCACTGCTTCAGGCTTTGAATGGTCATTAGTACCGAGCCAATTGAAATACGGCTTGTTTTTCCCATCTCGTCAACACAAGTTAATTTTCATGCCGTACTGCACTTAGAATAACTAAATGGTGACAATCTTAAAACCTATAGTGTGCGGCGCAAACAAAACAAAAACAGTAATACATGTAAAACAATACTAATTTCAGCATTGTCCTTTGAGTTTGTGAACAAATGCTACCAGCTAACACCTTGCAGACCTCTCCCTGGCTGTCCTAATGGGCTGCATTGATGTTGATGTTAATGCTTAAAAGGACAGACTCATGGTCCGGAGCCCTGCTGTGCATGCTGAGCAGCTTCTTAGAAAATGCTTACACCTGTTGTTTTGGAGATAGCAGGTAATCGTCGACTGTTAAAAACACATTAGGATTCACTTAAGACTTCCGTCTGAACTTTATAATAACCTACAGAGCATATCAAATACTTTGGCTTAATAGGGAGTGATTTCACAGTCTCCAATTTTTTGAGGACAATGAATATATTCAGTCCAACAATGAACATCTAAAATGTGCATACACAAATATCGAAGAGCAACAATGAAAATCTGCAAAACCTGTATTTCCAAAAACTCTGAGCTGCGTGCCAATCATTCCATTTGGGATTGCATTGGCAGATGTCTAGTGTGTGTGTGTGTGTGTGTGTGTGTGTGTGTGTGTGTGTGTGTGTGTGTGTGTGTGTGTGTGTGTGTGTGTGTGTGTGTGTGTGTGGCTTGAGGCAAGGATTGCATATGTATTGCAATGCCCTAACACTGCCTTTATTTTTGCATTGCAAACGAGTAACAAGTTAGAGAGTTAAGAAATCTAAGACCTGGTGAGCAGGAACCGTCAAAGTAAAACAAAGAAACGAAGAAGGGACAAGACAGAGGATGATTGGTACGCAATGGATGCAAAAAGAGCACTTACTGACCAACATGGCCGCCCTGATCATCTAATCTATTGATCGCATTTATTAACCAGCATCCTCTACCTCGTTATCGATATTGTGCTACCCCACCTCCGCAGGCAGGAAATGCTGATACAGCATTAACTGATTGACAAACGACTTATCTGCATCATTCGATTTCCTTAGCTCCATCCACCTACGTACTGCCCTAGCACGTGCCTGTCCTTGATAATAAAGAGCTGAATGCCTGGTACACTGACGGGAAAACAGGCACTTGAAGATTTATTTAAGACAGGGAGAATACGCACTGGTCCGGAATAACAAAAGAGCCGTTATGATATGATGCAATGTAATACAATAGGGGTGCAATAGATATGAAACTACATCAAGTGTTTAGTCTTTGTTGGCATTTCTGCTCAAGTCGTCAAACTCAGTTGAAAGGTTTTATATGATATTCTGTCCACCTCATTTATTTATACGTGACAAATGATTGGCATCCAATACATCAAACAAACTTTTTCACCCAACAATAATTTTAACTTTTACCAATTATCTAAGTATTTAATGCAATATTGTTGTACTGGATTCAGGGTTGTGTGTTTGTCTGTTGCAATAGCCTCTTCAAATATAATAAAATGGTATTTTCATAAAATAAGTTTTGACACAAAATGAATAACCTCAAATGCAAATTTTCAGGTTCATATTTGTATATTTACATGCTTTAAATGTTAAAAAATATATACTTTGTTTTTTCTCATACTGCCAGTGCTGAAGCACCTCTTTTCACCCTCTGTCTGAAACCAGAGCCCAGTCTGCTCTGATTGGTTCGCTGGCAGGCTCTGTTGTGATTGGTCAACTGCTTAGAGTTGTCCCACATCTTAGCCTATAACGTACAATGTGTTGGAATGCCAGCTAATAGAAGGTTGATTGTGATATAGCCATGTTATGTTACACAAGTAAACAAAGGAGTCTAATCAAGGCCACACACTTCGAGGCTCCCCCGCGTAAATGCGCAATAGCTATAACGACGATGGGGTGGAGCGTCGTCCTTTACCGACTATGTCGTAATTGGACCTAAACCGGTTTGCTGAATAACGTAGTAAGCTAAAGGAATCGAGAGGTAGGTGGATGCATGACGGGATCGTGCACGGACGAGGAACTATTATTTTCTCGACTTACGGACCATGTGACTTCCTTTTGTCCGTGAACTTTAAAATAAATTCTGTCCCTCTTATGCGTGGACCAGGCCTTATGTTTTCTCGTCAATACTATACTACGTTAAATGTTATTCCCCACGACGTTATCTATACTTTGATGTATTTCACAATCAGGGAAACAACCGTAAAAGACGAGGTTCAGCAGTTTGAGTCAACTTTCCAAAATATACTATAAGACAGGTGGAGTAAAATAAATATGCACTGTTTACTAAACCGTGGTTATGTAGTTTGTTTGAAAAAAGTGGGTTGTTATTAAAACTTGAAAATGGGTTAATAGATTCATAAATTACGGGTATAACAACATGACTGAAGCCCAACACAAAAGACAACGTATCGGAGAAGTTTATATTATTTTACCATAAAAGTATTTTATTCAAAACTGTGTGTTTTACTTATTGGAGTTTACGTTTAAAGTATCCAAAGTATAAACTAAAGTATGTACGAAATTTACAATTTTTATATATGAAACCAAAAAAAGAGATGACGGTCACGGACTTCGTTGGAGAAGAGTGGGAGACAGACTTTGGTCTCGGGTCAGACGAGACTAACCAAGCGACCGTCCGATTACAACACTAAGCCAGTTGACGTATATTCCATACATGGGTGTAGAATCGGTATATTGCATGTTACTCACAACCTACGGTCGATTATCTTCTAACTAACATCTATATCGGTACAATTACTAATGTGTGTTCATTTTGCCTCAGATTAGTGTCCGGTGTGTGAAGCTTCCTTTCAGTGTAGAGTATGGATTGTAGCCTGTGTGTTCGCTGCGCCTCCTTTGCTTC